ACATAGCCTTGCTTTCCCAAAAGTTGTTCTCATCCAGGGTGGACTGCAGTTTCGACCTCGCATAAGTCTTGTAAACACCACCAGCGGGAGTCAAATCGTGACAGTGCAGCATGTAAGCTTGACACGTTAACCACTCGGCCACATTGCCACGAGTGCCTTTTTGCCACAGAGCAGATGTAAATTTCAAGGAAGGTCAGGCCTTTTCCCATATCCCATTCTTTGGTGGGATTGTCGATGAAGCAAACGTATTTTTGCTATAACAATAGATTAAGTAACTTATTTTTCGAATTTAAGTAGAGTTTTGAGACTATGTGAAATGCAATGGAAACGTCAGCTCAACTCATATCATTGTGGGAAAATTCTACTACCACTCCTTCATCCCCTTAAACGAAATCGGGTGAATACATTTCATATTACTGATTTACTGGTAGACACTAAATACAATACTTAATTGGATTATAGTAGTTTTAGAGGCTATCAATAATTCTTAAATTTATTTAGTGTGAGTTTTAAGTTTCAATATCAATGAGTAAGTATAGCTAATAAAATAAGCCACGCAGTTTCCATTTAATTTGGCAGGTTATTATATCAAATAATCCGTATTTAATCAACATTGTTATAGGTAATATAAAATTTTTTAAAAGCAAATTCTGAATCTACCAGATCGTTAAAAGATAGAAGTGAGTACCATAATGGAAAAGAGAATACTATCTTAGCATATAGATTCCAGCGCAACACCGTCAGGTCTGTCAAACTCATTTAGAAAAAGAAGTCTGAGTGGTGCCCATGCCCTAATAAGGGCGATAAATGCATGATATATCACGGCTGTTAAAGCTTCATATGATTGCAGTTCTGCCTTACTACCATATTCTGATGGCTCATCTTACAGTGGTCAACTACTTAAGATAACTTCGTTACTTCAGTTCACAAGTTCCGGACGTCCCTTCTCATTCTCTGTTAAGAGCCGCAAATTCATCCTGGATATACATACAAATAGGAGCATCGCTTTTGCAGTGGACGCTTACCTTAAGTGTCCTTGATTGCAGCTCAGCATCACCAGACAAGCTGACCACTGGTATGTTGATTTTGTCGGCTTTTATCTCAGGCCGTAAAGTGCGTCTACCCGAGGAATGGCCATAGTGAGATAGTCGGATGTCGGGCGACAGGCTAGTGGCTTGACTAGTAGACGTTTCTGAACTAATGCCGCCACAATTTACTGATTCCTCATTTGTAACTGCATAACAAGATGCTTCGGCGCTGTTATCACCTACTCCAATACTTAATTCTATTTCGATATCAGCAGCATCTTCCTCCTCAGTCTTGAGGGTCTTCCCACTTATTTCCTTCCGGGTCCCGATGGCAATATCATTTTCATCCCTGGCTATAACTCCACTATCATCGTAGTCGCCATCTTCGTCCTCACAATCGCCAACAACAGGATCATGTTGCAAAGGGCCTAGGATAGGGGAAAGGAAAATTCCACATAAGAAGGTAGGGGAAACAATTGAAATAATGAAACACACTTTAGTCATTGAAAAATTAACAGAGGGATTTGATAAAATGCTTTGGAGAATTGTATTATCCCTTCATTTCCTAAGGAGTAATTGAGTGCTTCATTTGACTGAAGCCACAGCTAGTGACTTGTTACAAGACACCGTATCTAGCTCATAAAAAAGAGAGCTTTCAGCATGACTCGTTCAATGCTACCTGAACGTGCGATTTTTCCCATTGGATCTATGTGAATGATCACGTAAATCCAGGACAACATCTAGGAATCAATAAGATGTAGATAAATACTTATGCCAGACAAGTAACTAATTGTGCAAGAATGCAGAATCGGCCTGAGATTGTCTTCTCTCTTATGCCTCGATATTAACTACAACCCTTACGCTCCTCCATTGAACTGAATTTATGCGACACTGTTCTAAGCGCGCAGTTATCGCTTGTAATTAATTCATATTTATACAAGCTACTTTGTGAC